TTAGGTTGGTTCCAGATTTCCAATTCATAGCCTCACTCTTTGATCTTTTTGGTTGCCGAACGAACTGTACTTTAGGTACTAACACAAGTATTTTCTTCAGGTCCAGTGACGAAACAAAACTGCTTGTTATTGCCGGAGAAGCGATTAGAAGGGATCATCTGTTTGATCATGGGCAGGATATCCCGTGATGGATGGACCATGTATGTACAGCGGGGTTACATTTTCAGAGTCAGACGATTTTGTTTGTCTAGGTTGGACATGATGGCTGCACTTGAAAAGCGCATTACCAAGCAGTAAGGGGGCAAACACAGCAATAAATAGGAAATAAATCCCAGAAGTGAAAATCCTTTTTTCTTTTGGCTGTATAGTTTTGTCTGAAAAGAAATTATTGTTCCCTTCTTGCCATGGATGATGCGTCCTGTTGATTGTTGTGGATGATATATGGGGTTTATCTCACAGGATTTCCCTGCTGTATTAAATTTTGGTGCATACACCAGTCTGTTCTTATTGTATCATTGGGCTTACAGTTAGGGTTTGATGCAGCCGCAGGGAGATTGTCCTTATTCTGGAGTGTTGAGAATGGTTGTGGATTATATTCTTTCTTTTCATTTTCATCTCCAGCGTGCATATGGAAACAGGAAATGCACCAGACTATATTTTTTTTTCATAAAAAGGATCTAGTTTCAAATATCTTGAAGCGAGAAACCCAACGGTGAAAACGGTTTAGCATTTGGAGGATGATGGCGCGCATGCAGTGCATCACTTGTCAACGCCTGGGAAGCTGATTAATCATCTCGCATATACATGGGAGTTGTTGTTTTCTATTTCGGCGCCTATAGCCCCAACACCTATTCGGCGCCTTAAGCGCAGGTTACAGTGGTTTCGCAAACAGGCGCACAACCCTCCACAACACTGTCTATTTACATGGATCGGCCCATGTAGGTCTTTTTTTCCACCTATTTTTTCGGGAACCTTCCCATGAAAGTTCTGACTGTTGTTCTCTAGGCGGTTTTGATCGGGTTTACCGTGCATGGGGTTTCTGGTTTTCTCATTTTGTTTTTGTCTTCTTTTTCTTTTTTTCCTTTCCGTTCTTTTTTATTTTCTGATTTTATCAAATCTGTGAACTTTTAAAAAAGGTGCCAATTGTATTTCAAATTGTGATTTTTTTTAGCAAATTTACGAACTTTTCAAATTCATAACTCTTTTTCAATTTTTCATGAACTTTTTTACAAATTAGGATTTTTTAAATATGTTTTTGTTTTTCAAATTCGTGAAGTTCCTTTTGCTTTTGCGATTTTTTCAAATTACAAACTTTTTTCAAGTCTTGAACTTCTTTTTGAAGTCATGAATTTTACTCAATCTTTTGAATTTTTTTCAAGTTTGTGAACTTTTTTGAATGTATGAAAATTTTCATTTTTGTGATTTTTTTTGAATTCATGATTGTTTTCCAAATCGTGAACTTTTCAAATGCACGAGTTTTCCAAATTGTGAACTTTTCAAAGGTGCCAATAGGAGGTCTCGCCTATAGCGCCGATTATGGACAATAGGCCCGTATACATTTTTAATCCATGGTCTCGCTAAAAGTGCATGGATTAAAAAACTCGTAGAGCCCACACACCAGCAGATGTTTGTGGACAATGGACCAGCCCATCTAGGGATTGCAATTCGGGTTTATAGGAAGCTTTCTCCACCCGGTGTTGTGAAGCTTCTAGAAGCTTCCAAACACCATTTTCTTTCCTTTTTCCCATTTTTTGTTCTTCTTTTCCATTGTCTAGATTTTCTCAAATGTGTAAACAGCTTTCAAATTCGCGGTCAATTTTTCAATTTCTTGAAATTATTTCAAATGCACAAACAATTTTCAAATTTGCGAACAATTTATCAAATGCATGAACATTTTAAAATCCACAAACTATTTTCAAATTGGCGAACAGTTTTTCAATACGTGAGCTTTTTTCGAATCAATGGACAATTTTCAAATTCGTAAAATATCCATGAGCAAATTTCAAATTAGTGAAGTTCTTTCGAACTGGCGATTTTTGTTCAAATGTGTGAACAATTTTTATATGCATGAACTTTTTTTAAAATCCACAAAAAAAATCCATGAACTTCTTTCTAATTTGCGACCAATTTTTAAAATTTGTGTAGTTTTTCTAATTCACGAACATGTTTTTAATCCATGCACTTTTTAAAACCCTTATACATTTTTGTAAATTGATGAACATTTTTTCAAAATCATGATTTTTTGCAATTTAATGATTTTTCTAAATCCATGGACATTTTTCTCATTTCACAGCAAAGCCCAAATGAATGTGCGAGCGTGAATGCAAAATCATGCTGGCAAGCTACCGAGCAAGCGATGTGACGACCCAAGTGCCTATGATAGCTTGCGGGTCGTCAGTAGCCTAGCAAACTATATGCGGAACATGGATTTTGACATGTATTTAGTCAGCGAGACCCAACTCTATCACAAATGTAAAGACTCCGAAAAGATGCAGACTATCAAATATGGCCTAGTTCCGAAAAGATGCGTTTTGATGTTTAAGTTAGAACCGGTGGTTAAGGTTCTCAAAGTAGCTTGAAACATGTCTAAAGTGCAACGTTTTTTCTTACACTGCGTTCGGATGTCTGAATTAGACCCTTTGTATTGGATATGGTATTAGCTAGCTAGCAATTCATGCGTTTTGATGTTTACCGAAACGAGCGGATGAAAACGGACCTAAAACAGAGCGGAAATTACGTCCACATGCAGGGCCCTCCCGCAGGTAAATATTTTTGGTCGGGAGACCGAAAGAAGCTTGCACCGGTCGCACGCGAACCACACGATCGAGGCCCATCGTGCGTCTTGCAAAATGCCCCTACCTTATCTCTTCTTCCTCTGACTCATCCTCACGATACTTTCTCTCTCGCAGCCGTTCTCCACACACTCGCTGACCCAACCCAGCCACCCTTAAAAGCTCTCCTCCATGACCGCGGTCCCCCCTTTCCTCCCTTGCAGCCTCGACGAAGGGCACATGTCATTGTCCCCTTTTTTCTCCCCTGCAGCCTCGACGGAGGGCATAGGCGCTCACGAAGGCAACCCCGCGCACTTCAACACAACGGGGGGCGTCTACAAATGCTGTGACTGATGGCCATGGTGCCTAGGGGACTCGGCCACATCTGCGCCGCATGCGTCAACGACGACCCAACAGGTACCGGTGCTGCAACCAACATTTGTCGGCCACTGATGTGCAACTGAAATGTCGTTTTGCTGGAAAGGGCTAACGTGGAAGTTGCGGCTACACACGACCGATGCTGGAACCAAACAACCAATGAGGTGTGCTGCAACCAACATTTGTCGGCACCTGTGTGCAACCAGTGTGTTATTTTTCTGGAACCGGCTAAAGAGGAGGTTGCAACTACACATGACCGGCACTGGAACCAGACAACCAATGAGGTGTGTGCAACCAACAGCTGCCAGCACCAGTGTGTCATTTTGCTGGGACCAGCTAAATAGGAAGTTGCAACCACACATGACCGGCGCTAGTACGAGACAACGAACGAGGTCGTTTTTGCTACGACTAGCATTTTTTTACTGGAACTGGCTACATTTTTTTTGCTGGACTCGACCTCACGACTGGTAGGGACAAAAAGTTGCAACATGTGAGCAAAAATGTTGGAAGCAGCAATGGTAGAAGTTGGAACCGACAGAATTTTTTTGCTACATCGATGGAGTGCTACTGTTTGGGTGGCGGGGTGGCAAACTAAAAAGCTACAACGGATGAGTTGTTTTGCTAGGACGGCGACATGTGGAAGTGGGTGACCCAGGAAAGACGGCGATGATGTGGTAGTGTGCACCCGTGCAGACGAGCATCGACGACATGGACATGCCGATGTTACACACCCAATGTTGCAGCCACAAGGGCGGAGAGCTAAAACCGTTGTGGGCCGAGGCTCCATGTCAGCGTTTGCGCGTCTACGATCATTCATAGCAGAAGCTACAAGGAGCCATGGTTGAGCACGCCCATTGACAACTGGTGTTATAGGAGGGGAGGGGGAGGCAAACGTAGATGGAGATGGACAGCGGGGGGCAGCACGACAGGCGGGGAGGCGATCTCCCCTGCAACGCATGCGGGATCCGGTGCGTCGGAGAAGAAAGGGGAACGGCTCACACGGCCAGGGGCGGTCGATCTGGACGGCTCGCGCGTGATCGACCTGGCGTTTTCCTTACCCGGGAGGAGCAACAGGAGGAGCACCTTCCGGCTCGTGGGCTGCCACGTTTACAGAAGAAGTTTGGCGAATAACCCACGCAAACCTACACCTAGCGATATGGAAATGATCTAGAGTGAATCTAGGAGCAGAGCAGGTAGAGAGAAAGGCAGCGAGCACGTGGCGCCCCCCATTGGGCCGAGGGACACAGGCCGCTGCGGCATCGCATGTGGCCCGGGACCGGTTTGGCGTTTGACCAGTGCCACGCACACACGCACACACAGAGGAGAGCCCTCGACAGGGCTCGGGCGCAGGCCACCAGGCGCGCTGCCATTGGCCGCCCGGGAGCGAGTGAGCCCCCACCCACCAGCGGCGGGACCGGGCGAGCCACCTGGACGCCTCTCGCGCTCGCGCTCGCCGACAGTGCTCGCGCCCACACCACGCGCGCGGCGCACTCGTCGCGGCGCCACTGGCTGTCTGGCCACGGAGCGAGCAGTAGAGGGCGCGTGCGACCGAGCCCCACCTCGGCCCAGCACCAGCTCGATCGAGCTCTCGCTGTCTGATGAGTGAGCGTGGGTGCGGGGGAGGTAAAAACGGAGGGGGCAGACCGAGCAAACCACCTGCTTACTTATTCCCATCCCTGTCTCGGCCAAAAGAGGCAAAGAAGCGGCCGCCCCAAACGCACCCGCCCGGGCCGACGCACCTCCGGAGAGACTCCTCGTAGATAGATAGGGGCCATAGGCCATACTACTACCACGAGCGACCAAGATACATACAGACACTCCCCCACGGAACCAGCGAGCCAGCGAGAGGCCATGGCCATGGAGGCCGACGACGACGACCTGTGGGGCGCGGTCACCACCAGCCCCAGCGCCTCGCCCCCGCCGTCCGCCGCCATCTCCACCGCGCTCAGCCTCAACACTCGCCTCCAGCTCCTCGCGGCCTCCGGCGTCGGCGGCGGCTCCCCGTTCCACCCCGGCGGCGTCGGCTCGCCGTTCCACCTGGGCGGTGGCTGCTACCGCAATGTGGCCGCGTCCCCGACCTCCTTCTTCTCCTCCGCCGCGGCCTCCTTCCCCCGCATCGCGCCCGACGCCGGCCCTGCCCGCCGCGCGCTGGAGCGTGAGATGTGCTACGGCCACGGCGCGGCCGCCTGGTCCGGCCCCCCCGGCGGCGGCGGCGCCGGCGCCGCCGCGCCCGTGGACCGGCGCAAGAAGCGCATGATCAAGAACCGCGAGTCGGCGTCCCGCTCGCGCGCGCGCAAGCAGGCGCACGTCACCCAGATCGAGTCGGAGGTGCAGCAGCTGCGCGAGGAGAACGAGCAGCTCCGCCTCAAGTACGACCAGGTAAGTAGGCACCCCCTCTCTCCCCGTCTCTCGGAACCATTCCTGGCCGTACCTAACTCGTCCCTCTCCTCCATGGACCCCCGCGGCGGCGGCGGCAGCTCAAGGCTTCAGTGGAGGTGTCGGTGCCGGTGAGGAAGACCCTGCAGAGGGTGCTCTCGGCGCCCTTCTGATCCTTCCTCGACGAGGGATCGAGATCGAGGCTGCAGCTCCTACAACCACCGCCGCTACTACGTACTTGCATAGCTAGAGTGTTGCAGTAGCTAGCACTTACTAGTAACTATTACCGGCTACTACGATGATCATCCATCATCGTCCTTGTAAATCCATATGGATGTTATTATGTTCTCCTTTTTCCTTGACTCACTAGTCCGGCCGGGGCTACCTCAATCTTTTGGTCACTCAGCTAAACCAGAGGTGGCAATGCGCAAGGAGAGGGGAGAAGACGCAGCTGCTTTATCTGTACAGCGGCAGCTGCTACCTACCTACCAGTAGTAGATCTCCTAGCAATTACAGCCGTTGTGGATTAGCCAGGCAGCAGCTGGTTCTTGTTTTGCTGACTTGGTGATTAATGATATTATGGTGCTACTTAGTACTGTTAGTTCTAGTGCTAGTGGTATTATTACTGCTAGTTACCATGATGATATGATCTGTGTTGCTGTTGCTGTCGCGTGGGAGGGATTAGGATTAGGCGGGGCAGAAAGGGAGGCGACGGCCTCGCCGAGGGAAGCCCGGCCTGCCTGCACAAATGTGGCAACTATCGCCTCCTGGAACAACGACACTTCGGGTGACAATTTGCCTGCCTGCCGACCTCATCCCCACCCACACCCGCTCTGTTTTCTCGGCCAGGCCGTGGTCCATGGACAGACGACGGCGTGGTGGAATTTACCCGCGTCCTTTCCTCTCTTCTTTTTAGTAGACAACAGAGTAGAATACTAGTACAAAGTTGACACTTACTTCCTCCGTAAATAAATGTAAGAGCGACGCTGCTCTTATATTTCTTCACACAGGAAGTATATATATATATACACACACAACCAACGATCCTGGCTTTGTTCGCACGTCGGTGTCGGAAAGTGACGCCGTCTTTCTATCCGAATAGCCAAGCCCGCAAGTCCGCCGCGACGTCGCTCTCTCCCTGCCTCCCTCCCTTTGGCCTTTCCGTTGTACTAGTAATTGGCTTGTTCGAAAACACGAAACAAAGCTGCCGAGTCCAGAAATGGCCACGGCCATTGGCCATTGTGCGTTTCACAGGAGAAAAATCAGGTACTACTACTCCTACTAGTGCTGTTTGCTTAGACCACGCCACACCGTTCCGCAGGGAGTAGCCAATCCTTGTGGGCCACGTACGACGAAATGTGTACTACTAGCGAGAATGGTCCGTCCTTGACTTGATTATTTCTGGGATTTTTTGTCCAAAAGGACCACCTATCAAGTTGAATTGTCAAAAAAGACTACCTCTGAAACACATTGACAAAAAAGACCACCTGCAGCGTGGCGGCAGGTGCGCCAGCCGACACGTGGCGCCTGCCGCCACAGACGCCGGCGGCAGCCCCTGCCGCCACGGGCGCCGGCGGCAGCCCGGGCTTAACCGGTTTTCTCCAACGGAACGCAGCAAGGCTGCAGCTACTGCTGCTGCGTGGGCGCCGAGACAGACCAGGTGGGCCATGCCGCAACTGCCAAAGGCGGCAACTAGTGCGTACTGTAGCTAGTCCCTGCGGTAAATGGATAGAGCTATTTTCTTCCGGCCCGCCTTGCGGTAAATGGATATACCAACTTGAAGAAACTAGCACTTGGGTAAATGGATAGAGCTATTTTCTTCCAGCCGGCCGTTTGTATGACTCGAGTCAATCCGCCGTACGTACGCGGCTACACTGAACAATAGCCCAGTTCGTCAAAAAAGAAAAAAACATAGCCCAGCCCGATGGTATCTCTGCCCTGCGCTTGCGCTAGTGGTGCCGATTAAACAAAGTGGCATGACCACCGCGCACAGGGCGCCGCTGCCACGCAACGGATGCCGCCTCGGGCCGTGGCGGCAGGGCCCATCTAGCCTGTCGCGGTGCGTGCAGCCTCAGTAGCTGCCCGCCTTGCTGCGTGGCGGCATGGCTCACCGCTCCGGTCCGTCCCGTTGCAGCTGGACTCGCGGACGGCAAAACCTGTTAAGCCTAGGCTGCCGCCTGCGTCCGTGGCGGCGGGTGCTGCCGCCGGCGTCTGTGGCGGCAGGTGCCACGTGTTGGCTGGCGCACCTGCCGCCACGCTGCAGCTGATCCTTTTTGTCAATCTGTTTTAAATGTGGTCTTTTTTAACAATTCAACTATGCAGGTGGTCTTTTTGGACAAAAATTCTATTTCTGGCCTACTATAAACTCACTCCGCTCTCACTGTCTCAAGATACACACTCAAATGGCACCTCATCACAGGTCTCAATTAGCTCACGACGTGGCTCCAGTGGGACCCGTCCTTATACGTACCTATCTCTCCCGGGCCCGCCGGCCATTTGCCTTCACTTCAACCTCCCAGCATTCAAGGACAGATTCGCTATTGCTTCCAACGAAAATTATATAAAAAAGGACAGATTCGCTATGAGAAACAAAAACAAAAAAAGGACAGATGCTTTAATTCTCCAAGCAACAAAGAAAGAAAGAAAGGGGAAAAAGGACAAATATATATTCTTTGACGAGGGCGCACCCTGGAGGCAGTACGTATCCCCATCGGTCAGGATTTGTTGTCACGTCGCCGTAGATCCTAAGCTCAGCTGTGACGGGTGATCTCATCTCTTTTGCTCCGACAACCTCCCCTGGTTGGCATCACAACGCACAAATATGGTATGTCTAATGCCCCCCTAAGCGTGCGTGGCATGATGGCCACACGCTCCTAATAAAAAGTGGCCACTTGCTCCGTCCATGTGCTAATGGTACTGCCCAGGCTTTGGCCATGCCAGGTGTAGGAGGGAATCGGGGAATAGAAAAACTTGACCAGTAAGGGGCAAGGCCGTACGTACCAAGGAGCCACGCACAAACACAATTCTTAGTTTTGTGTGTTTCAAAGCCGTGAATCTCTCCCATCTCTCTCCACCAGCTTCGGTTCTGGCCCCGGAGATTTAGATATTTTGGGTGCGTGAAGCCGCATCAGATAATCTACTGGAGACGGGGGTACGGAGTACAGGCTATTTCTGTGTTGAGACCTGTGCTAAGCGTCATGGCGTGGCAAAGGAGGCCATTGGCCGAAGAGGCCGCTATCCGTGGCAGGCCTTCCACCACACACCACGGACATGTTCTAGCTAGACTCCGTCGTCACGGAGCGCTGCTTTTCTGTCTGCTATTCCACGGGTATCAGCGGTCGACGCTTTTAAGCCCAACTCCACCGCGCGACCCCGTCCTATCCGGCCCTGTCCGTTTGGAGCAAAAGGGATAAATAAGGCGACCCAGCGTGCGACGGCCCGAACCCATTCTGTCCGTTTTGTGTCCGGGCCGACCCATTTCGAGCGCAAACTTGCGCCGGGTTTGGGTCGCGGCGGACACCAAACGGACGCGCGCCTCGTCCGCTTCGAGGCCGCGTGCACGGCCGGTCCATACATATTCGGGGCCCTGGGACGAGACGGCAAAATGGGGCCCTTGTGGACAAATAAAAAATTTATAATATATTGTATTTCGAAAGCAATTCAATACATAGCATAGATTGATGGTCCAGAGAACTACATCGTAATAGTATGGAAACAATATAGTTCTACAAAAGATCGCTCTTCTAAGTGGCACAAAGAGACCATCATCTCGCTCTTCTAAGTATGAAAACCTTGTCAAAACTGATAGCAACTTGAACCGTTTGTGTTTTTGTTTTTTCACTTTCTTTTCTCTGGGATAAACAGTCTTTAGAACACACATCACCAAACAATTGCAGAAAAACTGTCAATACAGGGAACAAAAGCACCTAAATATGGGCATATGGCTTGATGTCAAATTGTTGATGTAGCTTTTAAGATCTGCAAGGCTGCAACAGTCATTCCCCATCCCCCCTTCTCATCCCTGGATCCCATGAAGCTTGAAGAAGAGGCCAAGAGAAGAGTAGAAACTAGGAATAGAAGAATTGCAGATGTCAGATGGAGCAATCTCAGAGATGGAGAGGTGGGCTGTTTAATAGCGAATGGAAAGACTACTTGATTAGGCGAAGGAGGGAGATGTACCATCTCTGATGCGGTGATGCCTCAAACGTCTATTGATGGGGATAGTTGAGGATGCAGTTATAGATGATTGGGGAAGGGAATAGCACCATCGGTCTCCATTAATGGATGCACGGGAGCGGCACCTCGAATTTGGACGTGCACGGGAGCGGCGGCGCTGTTCTTTGGGATTTGAGAATTTGGGGGAGGAGGCGAGGAGACTGGAAGAGATCGATGGATCTGTTTATATTTTTTAGGCAAAGGAGATCGATGGAGTGCTACAGCAGCGTAGCGAACTAGCGAGCAATTCTTTCGGTCCGTGAGTTAGCAACGTGGTGGGCTTGGGCCTTTTTTTCCTCTTATTTTTCTGGACCTAATACGTATACTGTACTCCTACCTGGGCCGGGGCCCCTACCTCCCAGGGGCCCAGGGCGGTCGCCCCGTTGCCCCGCCCTATGGGCCGGCCCTGGCCGCGTGGCAGGCGGCCACCTACCTCCCACCCGCCCACATCAATGCGCACGAGCGAGCGGCCTCACCTGTTATCCGCACGTCGAACGGTCACCGTCCTTCTTTAAGTGGGAAGCGTGGACGGGTCGTCGTCCATACTGCCCCACGCCACCCAGCGGCCTCCTCGAACCCCGACAGCGCAGAACCCTAGCCTTCCTTTACCCTCGAGCTCGCCGGCCGCCCACCTCGCCATGGGCTTCTGGAATGGCAAAGGCAAGCACGACCGCGAGGCCGGCTCCTCCTCGGGGCGCCGCCGCGGATCCGTGAAGAAGGAGGAGCCCGCGTCTCCGCCGCACTCCTCCCGTCGAGCCCCCGCGTCACCGCCGCGCTCCTCCCGTCGAGCCCCCGCGCCGGCCCCCTTCACCATTGCCCCTAGGCCCTCCAGCGAGCGCGACCGGCAGTACATCTGCGTGGACGTGTGCCGGAGGTACTGGGAGACGAGGACGCCGGTCCCGTGGAGCGACGCCCACCTCCCCAACGGGTGGCACCTCTCCGCGGACCGGGTCCCCAT